GCTTAAGCCCTGTGAACAAAGAAATATTGGGCACAATGAGACCAGTTGAAGCTTGAAGATGGTATTCTTCTCCGGAGATAGGAAAGTGACGACCTGGCAAACGGTTATACTGAGAAAGTTACGGGAAGTTATGCTGCATCAATCCCATGATAGTTTGACAGGAGGACATCTCGGACTTAAGAAGACATTAAGTCACCTACGACAGAGATTTTACTGGATAGGTATGAGGCAAGATGTGGAAGAATGGTGCAGGACATGCAATACATCTTGTGCTAAAAGGGAACCCAAGCATAAAGGATGTGCTCCAATGAAGTTATATCAAGTTGGCACACCAAAAGAAAGAGTAGCCGTTGACATTGCTTGTCCTTTGCCCCAAACTGGTGCTGGAAACAAGTACATTTGTGTGATGATGGATTATTTCACCAAGTGGCCTGAGGCATATGCAATACCAAATCAGGAAGCTACAACTGTAGCTTCGACTATTAGTGATTTCTTCTTTAGATTTGGTATGCCATATGAACTGCATTCAGATCAAGGCCGTAACTTTCAATCAGCTGTGTTCCATGAATGCAGCAAGTTGTTTGGCATACAAAAGACCTGGACAACGCCACTTCACCCACAGTCTGATGTGATGATAGAAAAGTACAATTGACAAAGTTTTGTAATAGCCGCCAAGATGACTTGGATGTCTTACTCCCTCCACTGTTGATGGATAGCAGAGCATGAAGCCACTGTATACACTCCATCAAAGTTGGTGTTTGGTCGGGAACTTCAGATGCCAGTGGATCTGTTTGCAGGACGTCCACCTTACGAAGAGTTGCCTGAAAATGTGTCAGAGTTCGTGAAAGTGTTATCAGAAAGGATGGATGATATTCACCCTCAAGTGCATTCAAACTTGAAAACGTCTGCTGATTCCTTGAAGCTATGTTATGATAAGAAGTCTACTGAAGTCAGCTTTGTACCAGGAGACACGGTGTGGTTGTATAATCCCAGGAAGACCAAAGGGAAGTCTCCTAAGTTGTCTTATCCATGGGAAGGCCCATATGACATAGTGGGTCATCTCTAAGACGTTACTTTCCGAATAAAATTTGGTCGGCGAGGTAAGCCAAAGGTGGCACTTGCCAACAGGCTTTGGCATTATCACGGTCCAGGACATTTCAGTCCTTTCTTAAATAAAACTAATTCATTCTTCGTCAATACAACGTTGCAATACACTTAATTTCCATAGTCACTTTAACTTAAACACACGCTATAATTTATGCTATGATTCACGCACTTTACTTATGGTCACCACAGCACTTGACTCAATTATCCATCTCTATCTCTGCAATTATTCTTATATATATACAAAAATAGAGGGCGTCTGGCAAACACTCGAGCCTTCACGAACATTCTAGATATTCATTAGAGGTTACCAGCGTCACGTGAATTCTGCTGTCGTAACAGTACTTTAATTATAACATGATGATGTAACCTGGGCAATAGAAGCTACAGTACTTTAATTATAACATGATGACGTAACGTGGGCAATATAATTTACAGTACTTTAATTATAACATGATGACCTAACGTGGGCAATTGAAGCTACATTACTTTAATTATAACATGCAGTATGAAAAAAAAAGTGAAAACTGGACTAGAAAACACATTATCTAAAAGTAACTTACACGGTGTTGTCAAAGTTATCATAAAACTGATCTAATGTATCTAGGAATCCATCTGAACTGAAATGAAGACCAAAGATACCCTAAAAAAATGACAAAAACAGCATGATTAACATATTTCATATAGCTTTTGTGTAAGATCATAACATGTAAAATTGTACTAATTTTCAAGTTTTACATAATGATCGAAAACTGTATACCCATATATAATCCATTTTCATACTTAACAACAGAAGGTTATTTCGAAAAACTTTTCAGTTGATATTGTTACATCTCCGTTCGTTCGTTAATTAATTTTCCGTAAAATTCGTTCCCATGAAACTTTAGCGACACAAATCCTTTCTTAAATAAAACTGGTTTATTCTTTCTGAATATAACTTTACGATACACTTAATTTCAACAATCACGCTAAAACAAATGCTATAACAATGAACGTTAACTTCAACAATACTCTCTGACCACAGATCAATTACTCACTACCTATACATTATCCTGTCACGTTGTGACCATCTTATATATACCACACTACCCCCAATCTAGTAATCTCCCGAAGCTTCGAGAAAGAAGTGGCATGATACTAGTCACGTGACCTCGCTGACGCAACACTGCCCCCTCCTTAGTATTGTTCGTCATAAAACAATATCCACTTACATTAAACCAATAACAATTAACAACAACTTAATTAAAATGTACAGAATTACAAACACAAAATTACAATTCAACAAAGTCTCTTAATTTTACGGGACGTATCTTCTTCCATACTGGTCTCCGTCTCGTTGGCTTCTGCTTCATATGGGATTCATCTGCTTCATCAGGAAATGTTCTATCGTCTCATCACTGTACTAGCTGTTGTGGATTGAGTGGTAATCCTGCAATGTAGTACGTACTTTGTATTTTACAATACTACCTGATAGTTTAAAAAACAAGGATTGCAGCACTCTTTCAGTCATTGCTCATTTTCCCAATGAGTGTTCTAGCTGTTGATAATTAAGAGGAAATTGGACAATGTAATGCATACATTGTACTGTGAACATCACTTGATAGCGTAAAAAGGAAGGATCACCACTTCTTTTCAGTCATTAGCTCCTCGACCTAATGATTGTACTAGCTGTCGTGATGATTGATAAATCCCACTTATATTGATTGGCGAGTCAATGTTAGTTGCCTGAACAAATGTCATAGCTTTCTATTACCTCTTACTCAATCCGTCAGTCATAAACAGCCAGATAAGTGCTTTAATTTCATTATTCCTTGTTCAGTAAGTCAGTATGAGTCAAGGCAGCATTCTCATCTTGCTTTGACTCATTGGTCTCGTCCTCAAACTCCTGGTCAAGCCAGTGCACTAAAAGTTTATCTGTGATGCACAAATGCAGCTTATCAATATGTTACACATGCTTTTGTGCACCTTGTGTCCACTATAACTCGTACTTCAATGGACTAATCTAACAGAATACAAGATATGGACCAATAAGGCTTGTTACTTCTTGCTGGTAACAGCTAATACACCCAATCTGATTTACACAATGGAATATCCATCCTTTTTTGCATTGAGATAAGTATCTTTTACCTTTCTTCCGCCAGACATACAATCTACACTTTGAACCAAATATTTTAATTTGGACTCACCCGTCAATAACACCCTTTTCCAATCATCAACAGTCCAGTTTTTGTTTTCTTCTGTCCCAAAGGCTACATAAACGAAGATACTTAACATCAGTATCATTGAGTTTAGTTGTTCTGCCTCTTTCTTTCCTATTTTCAAATTTACCTGTCTCGGTCTCAGGATCTAGGGTGTATTTGACAGTTTAACCTGTTTCTATGTAGTTTTGACATACACATCTCTTCTAGAAAAATCATTGAAATTGTTTCATTCTAGTTGCTTTTGTGTCTTTGATGCTCTTTATAGCAGATAGTATCTACTCTGCCTAAGATGATGTTACAACAGCTTTGCACATCCATGTAGAAGAGATCAACAACTACTGAAGAGTCTTTCATTAGTCAAGTGGATGATGTCTGTATGTTAGAGCCAACAAATTATATAAGAGAAAAGCCAGTCATGTTGTGATTTCATCATAAAGAATAAATATGAGGTTTCTTGCATGATCAGAAACTCTATACTTTCAGAGACCTACTTTGCCATCACAATGAATAATTCTAAAGAGATCTATCTTGAAGGAGAGAAGCTATAAATCTGCTCAGAGATTCAGTTAAGGTGGTTGTCTCATGTCTGGGTAAGTATGCATGTTGTGTTTTTACTTTGTTTGTAAAAAAAAAAAGATTGTTTCACCTAACATCACGTGTCAGTCGCTTTTTCTCACATTTCTTAAAATTCAGTCGTGTTTTCAAATTCATATTACTCTGTAAATTTTCTTTTTGATCCTACCATTATTAAATAGGCCCAGGCCCGCCGACAGGGAGGGTGTGTGCAAAGGGGGCAACTGCCCAGGGGCCCGGGTGAATGAAACCTGGTTATGCCGTAAAGCCCGTAAAACATCTTTAGGCTATATCTTCATTTAATGATAAAGACCATAGTTTTGGCTTTTCTTTGCATATAGATGCTTGATACATTAAGAATGACTGAAATAATAATTTGCGTAATAACTAACATGTATTTGTTACTGTTACGTCTCCGTTTGTTAATTAACCTTCCGTAACTTCGTTCCGACGAAACTTTAGCGACACAAGTCCTTACTTAATAAAACTGGTTTATTCTTTCCGAATACAACTTTACGATACACTTATTTTCAGCAGTCGCGCTGTAACAAACACTATAACGAACGAACGTTAACTTCAACAATACGTCTCTCTCTGACCGCAGTTCAATTACTTATTACCTATACACACATTACATTACATTCCCGCTTCACGTTGTCACCCTCTTATATATACCCGACTACCCTATATCTAGTAAATACTAGAGCATTCGCCAAACTACAGGATAGTTCTAGAAAGGTGGCGTCACAGTAGTCATGTGACTCGCTGACGCAACATTACTTTATAGATTTAATAGATATTTGTTGTTACTTTATTAACGTTTTTACGCTTATACTGTGAGGTAAAAATGGCTGCTGCTATGATTTTGTTTGGTTTGTAAGCTCGTTGCTGTCCTAATTTAATAAATAAATTTAATAAATTCTTGAAAATGTTAAAAAAGAGAGAGAGAGAAAGGGGGCCCGGCGAGGATGTTTGCCCCGGGGCCCGTGCTGGCTCTCGATGGTTCCTGAATAGGCCTATCTGATATTTGAATAAGAATTAGTTTATTTGAGAATAGCACAACAAGTTGAGGCCAATCTCTCACTGTGGCTATCTTTGCTTAGTACTTAGTGACTACATATCTCCTTACAATGCAACCAAGAAACTTCACTTCTGTGTGCATGAGTGATCACTTTCTTAGCTTGAGTTTTCAAGTCTGCTTTATCTATTTGGTCAACTAACATTTAAGATTCTCAGCCACAGATTCAAACTTGTAATCAAACATCAAAACATTCTCAACATAGACTAGGCATTTGCCTATTACAGTCCCTTCAGTGTAAGCTCCATTAAGCTCTCAAAAGTAAAGGCCATATTACACAGGTCGAACGGCATGACACAAAATTCATACAAACTGTTGCGTCAGCGAGGTCACGTGACTCGTTCTCTCGAACTTTCGGGAATTGTCGGGAGATTACTAGATATAGGGTAGTCTGGTATATATAAGAGGGTGACAACGTGACGGAACAATGTGTGTGTAGATAGTGAGTAATTGAACTGCAGTCAAAAGTATTGTTGACGTTCGTTGATATAGCGTTTGTTATAGAGCGACTGTTGAAAATAAGTGTATCGTAAAGTTGTATTCGGAACGAATAAACCAGTTTTATTAAGTAAGAACTTGTGTCGCTAAAGTTTCGTCGGGAACGAATTTACGAAAAATCAATTAACAAACGGAGACGTAACAAATTGGTGTCAGGAGTGGGATTCATCTGCTTCATAAGTAAATGTCTTATCATCGGTAACAGTCAAATCAGTGGCAGTAGCTTCACCAAGAGCTTCACCGTTTCCCTTCTCAAAACTGAGAAGAGTTTCTTCTTCGACGGTGGCTTCTTCAGGTGGCATGTCTTCAGCAGCGTCATTTGTTCTGTTGTCCACTTCATCCCAACTGAAATGTCCTGGACCGTGATAACACCAAAGCCTGGGATTATACAACCGTACCTTGTCTCCTGGTACAAAGCTGACTTCAGTAGATCTCTTATCATAAGTTAACTTCATCGAATCAGCAGACGTTTTCAAGTTTGAATGCACTTGATGGTGAATATCATCCATCCTTTCCGATAACACTTCCACAAACTCTAACATATTCACAGGCAACTCTTCATAAGGTGGACGTCCCTTATGCTTGGGTCTCCTTTTTACACTACATGTACTGCATGTCCTGCGCCATTCTTCCACATCTCGCCTCATACCTATCCAGTAAAATCTTTGGCGTAGGTGACTCAATGTCTTCTTAATTCCGA